ATATATATTTTCCCTTATTTTCCCAGGATGGTTTCAAATTGAGTCAAGAATAGCTTCAAATGCCCACCTGGGCAGCCAAAGTTGCCCCTTTGGAAGTGCTTGAAAATAAAATTAAAAAACACCTTCACCCCCCACCCTTTTTTTGGAAGAACGGCCAGGAAACAACCCCCCCCCCCCCAGCCCCCACCCACCCCCCCTTTAAAAAAAATAATCCTTGGATTTGACCGAGCCACAAAACGCAACCTGGTTTGTTTTTGTTTTCTCTGATGCCGGAAAACTTCTCAAGGTACCGGAGAGAGGGACCGACACAACCCTGTTGGGGTGGGGTCGGGGGGGAACCCCCAAATGCTAGAAGTCATTGGAGGCGGACTCCGCAACCCTCCCCCCCCCGTCTTGCAAAAAGAGGTTGGTGTGCAATAGAATCTGGGCCCGCCACAAAATAAACCAGGATGGGATCCTGGCTTCGCGGCTTCCATTCGTTTTTAACCTGGTTGTTGGGAGGCCTCGTCGTACACACTGGTGAGAAACCGGATGTAAGGGCGCTCTTGGGTTTCGTGGCACCGCCTGCCAGGCCCAAAAGCGGATTGTGCGTTGTGATACGGCGACAACACAACCCTCACAACTAAGGGACGGTGGGGATGGAAAGCCATGATGGGAGAGAGAAATATGGGGGGGAAATACCCCAACCGGGCAGCCCAAGGGTCTTTCTCGCCCACGGTAGCGCCCCTTTCACTCCTCTTGAGATTTAACCGTATAAGATTTAAATACGGGCAGTCCTCGACTTACGAACCACAAGGGAGCCCCCGATTTATGTGGGTTTGGAGAGACCGTTGTTAAGGGAATGGTTTTGCTCCGTTTGGCGACCTTTCTAGCCAAGGGAAGCATGACCGGTGTTAAGTTAGCAACACGGTCGTAAAAGTGAATCTGGCTCCTCCCATAGACTTTTGCTGGTCGCAAAAGGGGGATTGCAGGAAGCTGCAACCGTCATAAATAGGAGTCAGCCGTGAGGCCTCTGAATTCTGATCACGCGACCGTGGGGACGGTGCAAAAGTCGTTACATGTGAAAAACAGGCGTAAAGTCACTTTTGGAGGGGGGAGGGGGTGATGTAACTTTGAACGGTTACTAAATGAACTGTTGTAAGTCGAGGACTACCTGTATTGATAGATTCAAATATATATATATATATATATATATTTATTGCAGAATCACCGTTCTGCCTCTGGGCCCTTCCAGCCACGTGGAGCTGCTCCTAAAATTACAAACGGCGCTTATAGCGTCAGTCCAACCCCCGTTATTTGTAACCTGCTTCGGATCCCGAGGCGGAGAGAACCGGATCGGCACCCCGGATCCGACTCCCAAACGAGAACAGATGAAGGGGGTCTTGGCTGTGAGCAAGATGTATGATCCCGGAGTCAGCATGGGGGGGGGGAGAGTGTGGGGGCAGGTGGAAGGCTCCAGACTGCGGCCTCCATCCGGCTCTCGCACCGACGGGAGTGAACTCCCGCTTCCCGGAACTCCGCCAGACGGACAAGCGATGTCTACAGGGGCCCAAAAAAAAATTCTCGAAAAAGCCACAGAGCTTGCAAAGGGTTTACTTTGTCCCAGTGGCGTTCTTGGACCGTAAGAAATACTGATCGGCTCGCCCCTTTGGCCTCTCCGCTATCCGGATCTCCCGCTCAAACTGCCGCTGGAGTTGCACGGCCAGCCGCCGGTCGGCCTCCTCCTGTTCTAGTCTCTGCTCGGTCCCGCCCCGCTGCTGTCGCCTCTGCCGTCTCAGCGGGTCGGATGCCGGAGGGCCCTTGCGACAGCCCACCGACGGCCTCAGCCGCTTGACCGAGGGGTCCAGGTGCTTGGTTTTGCATGGCCGCTTCTGTCCGCGCCGCAGAGAGGGAGTCTCCTCGCCGAGTCCCCTCTCGAGACGGAGGCCGTTGGAGAGACGGCGCAGTCCGCTCTCGTCCCAGTATCTGCGCGGCTTCCGCTCGGCCGGATTCCCGAGCGTGCCGTTCTCCGAGGCCGCGTTCACTCGCACGACTTTCCGGGCTATCGTTTTGGCATCGAAACGAAGGCACGAGCCAGCCGGACGGGGCGCCGATTTCATTTCGGGGAGCTCGGACACCCTGGAATCGGGGGGTTTCTCGGCGGGTCTTAGCGGGAGGACCCTGGGGGTCAGCTCTGTAGCCTCTGAGGCTCTCCGATCATTTACAGAACTGTCCGGCTTCGCTAGCGAGCGGGGAAGGAGAGGGTCCGCCAAGGAGACATCGCCGCAAGTGTTCAGAGGACAGTTGATGGGGATGTTGAGGTTCGGGACCGGGAAATCTTCGCCCGGCTCGGGAACCGAGGTGGTCAAGGTAGCCTTGGAGAGCATCTTTTTGACCTGACGTTCCTGGAGGATCTGCTCCCACTTCTTCAGGATCCGAGGGCTGGCTTCGTAGGTGGTGGGCTTCTGCAAGCTCCTGGTCAGGTTCCTGGGGGTGGACTTGATGATGAGGGGGCTCAGCACACGCCCGTCCGGCAGCTGCTTGGGAGGCGTGCAGGGGGAACAGACGATGGGCTTGAAATGATTCAGCTCCTCGGAGATGCTGTCGTTGCTCTCGGGGCTGATCGAGCGCTCCTGCCTGGGCGGGGCGGGGAACGAAGCCGGCCCCTGGTGGGAGGCCAGGCGCTTCTCGGCCGTCAGGTCCGGAGCAGAGAGGCAGCGGTTGTTTTGGGTGGAGGAAAGGACACCCACCAGGGAAACGGAGGCACCAGTGGAGGGGTTGACCTGCAAGACAAGACGTTATCGGTCAGGGATGGCGCCAAAAAAAACAAAACGGAAGTCTGTGGAGGTTCGGGGTCATCCTGGTCACGGTTGGCCCCAAAGTGATTATTTTTTCAAGAGGTGACTGGTCTTTCTGGTTTTTTTCCTTCGAAGTTGTTTCGCTTCTCCTCCAAGAAGCTTCTTCGGCTCTGACTGGATGGTGAGGAAGGGAAGGGTTGATATTCCTTGCAGACAGAACTGGTCATTTGCGTCCTTTCAGAGGGTCGTTGAGGCCGCTTGGAGGTTTGTCCGTGGGTTCCCTGAGTATTGCAAATGGGCGTGGAGCCTTCTTGGCGGCAGGATGTTGTCTGCCCAGTGTCCCTTCCCGGTTGGCTCCACACCCATTTGCACCCCTCAGGTGATCCTGAGGACACAGGTAACCCTCCAAGTGGCCTCAGCGACCCTTCTCAAAGGGTGCAAATAACCGGTATGAATCCTTCCATTCCCCACCATCTGGTCAGAGCTGAAGAAGCTTCTTTGGATGAGAAGTGAAATGTCTTCAAAGAAAAAAACAAGAAAGTTGTCGCCTCTTGGGTGGGGGGAAAGCACCTTTGGGAGACAAAACGGCACATCAATTCAGAACAACGGAGGCGAGAGAGACAGGGGAACCACCGCGTTGATTCATACTGTCTTTCCCAGAAAATTTAATATTCAATTTAATAGTCGATTTATAGCGTTCCCACAGTCCCGTGACTGCATTTTACATCGTTCCCGGTTTGCGGGCAAAAAATTTACTCCCAGTTTTCGGTAAAACCAAACCGACGGCAAATGGCCGGTTCGATTAACGACTTCGCCACCACTCCAAAAAGAGGCCCTCAAATCAGGTCGGCCCCCATAGGACGAAGCCATTTTACAAGCGTGACGACCTACAACAGTGACGGACATGCTCCGCGAGGGTCCGAGGTTGAGGGCTTGCGTCTACACGGCTAATCTCCTCTCCGATCCTTTTCTTAAAGAGGAAAAAGTCGAGACTTTCTTTTTCTTTTTCTTTTTAAAGACAGCCATGATTTTTTTCCCCCCCAGGGGTCAACCAAGAATCCGGTACCTTTGTCCTAACAGGAGCCGATCTCTGCCTGCTCTTCGATCGATTCCCCAGAGTATCGTTGCAACTTTGACTCCGTTCGACTTTGGAGCTGAAATTTCTGTGGAGGTTTTGCAAAACAAAAAAGGGAGGGAGGAAAAAAAAATAACCTTAGCCGCTTGATTGAAGCCTGCAAACATCATTCCTTCTCGCTATTATTAAAGCGCCAGCCTGTCCTTTCAGATACAGGCAGCCCTCGACTTACAACAATTCATTTAGTGACTTGTCGTGCCCTTGTTGGGAGTCTTGACTCTGAGGGGGAAGTCAAGCAGCCGACAGGGAGGGTGGCTCCGGTGGCTGTGGAAGAAACGGAGGAAGGGCACAGTTCGGCCCTCCTCTCTTCATCCTAGGGCACACAGGGAGGAACAGAGAAGGGAGCAAAGGGGCTTACGGGGGAGGAAAGGGCCCTGATGCCCTTCATGGGCTGCAGCTGGGAAGACTGTTTAAAAGGGCAAACTGCGCAGCATGGCAAAGTTGCTGGAAGCAAAGTGTGCATTAACTTTGTCCAGACTTATCTGGGTTTTGGCGTCCTCCCGACTGTGGTTTCTGTGTTATCTGCTGGAAATCTGCAATTTATCATCCTGGCCCTGCTGTGTTAATTACTTCAGTGAGGTTTGCGTTGGGTTTTTTATTTCTAATTATCTTTACTTTGGGTTCGGACTGCATTTACTCCGTTTGTAGACTGTTTTTGGAACAGTTAGATTTCCATCTGAGAATAACTGGACACTGGGGGCCAAGTGCGAGGGTATTTCAAGGGTATTTATTCTACTTTTGTGACTTTGTTATTTTTGGGTCACACCCCGGGTCATCACAGTGACCGCTCAAAGTTAGAAGAGCACGGGGAAAAAGTGACGTTATGGTCGTTTTCCACACATCGTTGCGGCATTCCCCGTGGTCCCACGATCAAAATTCAGACGCTCTGCAACCGACTTGTATTTATGATGGTCGCAGCATCCTGGGGTCACCTAATCCTTTTTTGCGACCTTCGGACCGGCAGAATCCACAGGGATGCCGGATTCACTTCACGACTATGTGACTCACTTAACAACTGCAGGGATTCACTTAACAAATGTGGTCCAGAATGTTTGTAAAAAAAAAAGGGGGGGGGGAAATATATATAAAATGTTTGACTGTTGGCATCTACTCCCGGCTGTTGTGGTTTGCCGGCAGCCGGTGCAGATGGCAGTGGAATCCAACAGTGGGGAAAAACGGGGACCAGTCCGGGAGTCTGGAGGGGACTCGGACGAGGGTCCTGCATCCAGTGCAGGAATGGGACCAGGACCATCTGAGAGTGGGGTGCTGCCTCTGGAGTCTGGCAGCAGCGAGGCAGAGGAACAGCAGGAGCCTGTTCCTAGTACGCGTATGCACAGAGCTGCCAGAAGGCGAGAGCAGCTGAGACAAAAGGGGCAACTCAGGAGTAAGGCTGGGAGGTGACGGCCCCTCCCATAAGGGATAAAAGTCAGGCCAAGATGATGAAACCTTTGCAGGAAGCAAAGTCACTCGATCGGTTCAGAGTCACCGTTAAAGCTCTTTGTACTTCGGTTGCTTTCTTTTCTAGTTCATTTGATACTTCTGTTTTTGGCAGCACTTCAACAGAACTGAAAGGTGGGTGCTTATCTCGGGGAACTGTTTGAGATTAATTCTGGCTGGGAATGAAAACAATTCCGAGCATTGCAATAAAATGGGTTTTGTTTTCAAAAATAAGTTTGTGCATCATTGCGGTTTACGAAGCCTGGGTCAGTTTGCAAAGATGTTCCCAACCTGAAGCCCAGAATGTTGGAAATATCAAAAACAGTCAAGGGACCTTTTTTCACATGCGGTGGATTTGCCCGGAAGCCAAGCGATATTGGATTAGAATTTTAAAAATGGCTAAGAGGAAATAACAAGCCAACAAATTGAATTTAGACCTGAACATTTCTTGCTAGGGATAATAAGAGGAGGTTACAGCAAAAAAGATAAAACGTATTATTTTGCATATAATTACTGCGGCCAGAATCGTTTAACGCACAAACCTGGAAACATGACAGTATAACCCTCTGAAGGGATAGTGATAAAAAAAGATCTTAGACTGCGTGGAGATGGACAGGCTTGCACTGGAATTAAAAGATAGAGGTGAATCGGAATCCTATCTGGTCTGGGACGCTTGGTAATAAAAGCAAAAATTAGTAATGTAATTACGATGTATATATGAGTATCTGTGATACTGTAGCGTTGTAAAGAATGTACATATATTTTAAACTGCTGAAAAATGTTCAATAAATATGTGTGTGTGTGTACAATAACGATTTGTGGACTTCAACTCCCAATTCTGTTGGAGTTGGGAATTGCCAAGTTTGGAGACTCCTAGTTTAGTCAGTCGTTTTTCTGAAAAGCATCTTTTAAAAAATATATTTATTAAATTTATAGGCCACCCTCCTTAGTGTCAAAGCGAGTTTTTCGATCATCTCTTATCGCTCAACCGGAACCGCCGGCGGGAGGGGTGGGGAGGACTTACCCAGCCAGCAAGGCGACCGAATAGGCGCTGCCCTTGGAGACAAAAGCCGACCGATAGACGGGCCGGCACTGGAAGGGTTCCTCGTTTTCGGAATCCGACAGGCACTCGGGAAACTGGTGGGTTAAGCGAAGGAAAATCAGGGTGCACATATGGCAAGCACAGCGCCCCACAAGAGCGCCGTGGGAAGTCCCTCCCCTCCCAGAAGAAGGAAATATTTTAGGAAAGGTTAAAAAGGCGGGGTATTCTATTTCTCTGGATGGTAAAAGAAGAAACGTGTTTTAAAAGGCAGGAAGCAGCTCCCTGCTCACCCCCTGCAGATATTTGGTGCCCGTGGAGCAGGACGGAGCCAGTCTGTCTACCAGACTAAAGACCTCCAGCTTCAGGACGATGGGATTAAGACAGGACTCTCCGGGATTATAATAGGATTATCTAGCAGCAGAGCACCATCTCCTAAGGACATTGCATCGCCCGGCAAACTTTAACCCAACTGAGCTCAGACAAATATGACCCCTACATGGCCCCATGGGAGTCTGACAACAGCCAATAGAAGACATGTTCTTGCACAGGAACAGGAAGCTCAAGGAGAAGGTATAAAAGCCACCCACTCTCAACTCCAGGTGGTTCCGCTTCATCATTAAACCATCTTTTCAATCAGCCTCCCATGTTTCCAGTGTCATTTGATACTGGGCCCAGCTGTTCCGCATCAGCCGCCTCCAGATCTGGGGGCTGTTGACTCTCCACCGGGGACTGATGGACTGGGCCGTCTGTTCCTGTCCGTTCCTCTCTGTCTCTCTCTCGTTTCATTCCCCCTCAGAGCTAGAACTGTCCCATAGATTTCCACTGCTCTCCTCTCCTTTGCCTTCTGCGTCAGGCACCTCCAGACCTGAAGGCTGTTGACTCTCATCTGAAGACTGACGGACGGCCCAGGTTCTGCCCCCACCTTCTCTCTCTCTCTCTCTCCCCCTCCTTCCCTCTCTCTGCCAGTTCCATTCTTCCTCGGAGCTCCCGTCCTGAAGACCAGCCCATAGATTTCCACTGCTCTCCTCTCTGACGGACGGCCCAGGCTTCCTCTCTCTCTTCTCTCATTTCATTCCCCCTTGGAGCTCCTGCCCTGAGGACCAGCCCATAGATTTCCACTGCTCTCCTCTCCTTTGCCTTCTGCGTCAGGCACTGGACCCGGCTGTTCCTCCTCTTCCTCATCAGCCACCTCCAGACCTGGCTCTTCGGTCCCAAGGACCGGCCCATAGATTTCCACTGCTCTCCTCTCCTCTCCTCTGCCTTCTGTGCATCTATGCATCAAGCACTGGACCCGGCTGTTCCTCCTCTTCCTCCTCAGCCTCCTCCAGGTCTGGGGGCTGTTGACTCTCATCTGAGGACTGACGGACGGCCCAGGTTCTGCCTCCCCCTTCTCTCTCTCTCTCTCTCTCTCCCCCTCCCTCCCTCTCTCTGCCAGTTCCATTCCTTCTCGGAGCTCCCGTCTTGAAGACCAGCCCATAGATTTCCACTGCTCTCCTCTCCTTTGCCTTCTGCGTCAGGCACTGGACCCATCTATTCCTCCTCTTCCGCATCAGCCACCTCCAGACCCGAAGGCTGTTGACTCTCATCTGAAGACTGACGGACGGCCCAGGTTCTGCCCCCACCTTCTCTCTCTCTCTCTCTCTCTCCCCCTTCCTCCCTCTCTCTGCCAGTTCCATTCCTTCTCGGAGCTCCCGTCCTGAAGACCAGCCCATAGATTTCCACTGCTCTCCTCTCCTCTGCCTTCTGTGCATCAACCACTGGACTGTTTGATCCTCTTCCGCATCAGCCGCCTCTAGACCTGGGGGGCTGTTGACTCTCCATCTAAGGGCTGACAGAGGACCCAGGCTCCGCCTCCATCTCTCTCTCTCTCTCTCTTTCTGCCTCCTCCATCCCCTCTTCCCCCTCGGAGCTCCCAAGTTGCCCTGATGCTGACCCCGACTCCCACGCCTCCTCCTCCGCCTCCTCCTCCGATTCAGCTGGCCAACAAGCCGCAACACTTACACATTCGTGACTCACTCTGGCCACCAGGGATTCCTCTTTCTTCTGGTCATCCGTCCTCTTCCTGTCCACTTCAGCGTCGTCCCCCGCCATCAGCTTGTGAATCAAATCCTCCGACATCTTCTCTTCTTGCCGTCTGTCATGTCTCAGCTAGGAAGCAAGGTTGATTTTGTGAAAGAAAGGAACAGCAGCAGCAGCAGCAAGTTCCTTCGGATGAGAATTTGTGTAGGTCGCGTGTAAGCTGTAACCCCATCGAAATCCTGAGTCTCGAGCCAAACTTCAAAAACTTCAAAAGGATTTATTGTGAGTTAATATGCCGGCACTGCCTGGGTGTAGCCGACTCTGAGAGATACATCATTCCTTGTCACCCTTGACCCTGGTTTTTCCCCAACCCCTGGGTGTATCCTAATTCATATCCTCCAATGGGACACCTCCATAGCCCAGAGTCATCGATCAGGCTCTCCAGTTGGAATTTTGAACGGCAGAAACTTTGATCGCCTAGTTACTATCTTTCAAAACATTTATGGAATGTAGTTTCAGTTTCCAAGCTGCTGCACTGCTCTTTCAAACCCCTTCCCCCCTCCTCCCTCCCTTTCGGTTGGCGATTCTAAAAAGACCAGAGAAATATTTTAGGAGTTGACATAAATGGGGAAACCTCTTGTCACGTCTCGTTTTTTCGGTGCCGTTGTAGCTTTGAGCGGCCACTAAGCCAACGGCTGTTTAAGTCAAGGGTTACCGCTAAAATATACCGATTAAATAAAAATGCACCTGGCCGAACGTACCTTTCGCAAGTGGCTTTTATGTTCCTCGTGAATCTCTCCGTGTTTGGCCAAAGTGATGGGCGTTCTGAAGATAAAATCTATTTTTTCAAAAAGGGGGTGGAAAAAAAAGAGGACAAATGTTGAGCGTTTCCAGTCCATTCACACCTGCTGCCGAAAGACAACCCGCCCTACAACGAGGCAGTCCTCGACTTACAAACCACAGTGGAGAGCGGAAACCTGCCTGTTTACGCGATGTGGTCATTGGGTGAGCCGTGACACAACTTGTCGGTCAGATTTTACAACCCTTTTTCACCCCCACCCACCCCAAATTCCTCAAGAGGTCTTCTAGTCCAGCCCCTCCCTGCTGAGGCAGGAAACCCTGTATCCTTTCGGACAAAGCGCTCTCCGGTCTCTTCTTAAAACCCTCCGCGATGGAGCACCCACAACTTCCAGTGGCGAGCAGTTCCACTGGTTCATGGTTCTCGTTGTCCGTAAATTCCTCCCTAGTTCCAGGTTTGCTCCTC